ATTTTGATTTGGAACAAATTTGAGTGATTGAAACTGAGAAATTTGAAACTTGGATTTCGAAAATGGCGAGCTGATGAAAATCTGCAAAACTCGCTCAAGCGAAAAATATGTCGCTTGAGCGAGGATATCTGGAAAATTGGGATTCTCGGGTTCTTTATCGCTCAAGCGAAAATTACATCGCTTGAGCGACTAAGGGTCATGTCTCGCTCAAGCGACCGGTGTGTTAGCTTGAGCGACGAAAGCTTCAACTAAGGGTCATGTCTCGCTCAAGCGACCGGTGTACTCGCTTGAGCGACGAAAGCTTCAAACAGAGGGGACTTTCGGGTCATGCCTCGCTCAAGCGACCGATGTACTCGCTTGAGCGACGAAGCCTTCAAACAAAAGGGGACTCTCGAGTTCCATCTCGCTCAAGCGACCGGTGTACTCGCTTGAGCGAGCGAAGGAAGAAGAAAGGACTAGGTGGGAATTTTTACAAAAGATCAAGGGTAAAATAGTCATTTCACATATTAGGGACATAAATGGAATTTTGAAAAAGGTTAAGGGTATAATCGAGATAAAGTCAAACAGTATATTACCCCCTCTTTGTTTACTAGGAAAAACGACTCAATAAATGTTAGAATTTGAGGATAGTGCCTTCATCAAAGTTATAGATTATTATCTTATCTTTCCAACACAATTGGAATCATCTTAAAATGAGGTTTAGAACTCAAGATATGGACAAAACACTGAACCCTATGAAATAAATTATTAATAAAAATTGTCTTGCTTAAAACAACTATGAATTGTAATTAAAATTTTGAATATATGAAGGAGATGTTTTTAAGTATTTAATTGATGATAGATTGTTTTGTTTCATACGAGACATAAACATAGTGCATGAAATGTTTTACGGAAGTCACGAGAAAAGTTTTTACGAGAAAAGTATTTGGAAATTTCTCTTAAGTTGCTACCAAGGACGGTTGGTAGGAATAATGATGTGCAAAACAGAATTTTAAAATTTTTCTGTGAGTCAATTTACTATCAAGAGTATCCGGTAGTGAAATATGACTATGAAAATGGCTGGCCAAATGAGACGAGAGAATGAATTATTAAAAATTGAGCTACCGGAATCTCCGATAGTAAATGGGGGAGTAGAATAGGTAAGACGGGACCTCTAGTCTATGGGGATGGACCTGCTGGTCTAGGGAGTGTTTGGGCATGGGCAATTCCATAAGTGGCCGAGTCTTTATTTGATTACGTGCCGTGGTAGCTGCTAGGGTGCACCGACACTCGACTACTCGTCTACTTGTTCGCGTTTAGTGGGACATTGCCGAATCACTGGACGAGGGTGATGATAAGCTACGGTTCCACTAGACACTCAATGAGTCTCCATGGAGCACCGAGTCAAAAATAAATTTTTAAATTTTGAGTCAAAAGCATGATTTTAAAGTTTTACGTTTTGAGTCACATTTGCATATCATAAACATGTTGGATGATGAAATTGTAGATTATTCATGATTTGTATGATATTCTCTATTATGATTCCATGAATGAATTATTTCTCACAATTAATTTTCAAATTAAATTACATATGGTTGTATATTTATATGCAGTTAGGAACTTATTAGAAGGAATGTTTCATTAGTTGATTTTATCGTATGAATGTTTGTTTTATTTGTTGTGGATAAAATTAAATGTCTAACCCCATAAATATTTCAATCCCAGATGTTGGTGACGTATGATGCAGGAATACATAGTCCAAGAGATAGATGTCAGATGCAAAAATCCAGAGCTTAGGTTGGGAATTGTATAACATATAAGTATAACTTCATGACTTGTAATATTTTGAAAACTTTGTACTAGAACTTGTTGCTTGATTTAATATAAAACCTTACCTAAATTAATTGTTCACTTAGTATATTTTCTATTAACCTTCTATGAATATTGAAAATATTACTAACTTAGATAATAAATTAGAATTAATAAATGTAATCTGTAAGGGGGTTACAATAAGCGTTTTTTTGTAGTGAATGTCGATGGTTAAACAATTCTCGGGGTTTTGTGGAGCTCGTCGAGAATATTCTTTAAGGTGGTATCTAATGTCTCGATAAGGGGTCATTATGTTTGCTTTTAACACTACTACAAAATATACTTTCTACGTCGTCATTTAACGTCAGTTATAGCTGAGACGACGTAGAAAGTACTTTCCACGTTGGTTCCAGATGAACCGACGTTGAAAGTTGAATATTAAACACATTCTATGTCGGTTCTTAGTCAACCGACGTAGAAAGTACTTTTTACGTCATTTCCCATATGAACCGACGTTGAAAGTCTTTTTTTTTTTTTTTTTTTAGTTATTGACACTTTCCACGTCGGTTCCCATATGAACCGACGTGGAAAGTCGTTTTTTTTTTATTTTTTTCACCCAAAAATTCAATTAAATTTGAAAATTGTCACTGCCAGGATTCGAACTCAGGATTTTAGAATTGGAAACTAATACTCTAACCACTAAACTATTATAATTTCCTGATAATAACTTACAAATAAATTATATTTATATACAAATAAATATATATCCATGTAAATATATATTTATTTGTATATATTTTCTGGAAAGTATTTTTATTTTTTTTTCAGCCAAAAATTCACTTAAGTTAATGAATTGTCACTGATGACATTTGAACCCAAGCATTTTAGGGTTGTAAGTTAATATCCCAACCACTAAACTACTACAATTTTTTGATAATAACTTACAAATAAATTATATTGGTATTTTTTGATCGAGGGTGAAAGTGTGATTGACTCTCGCTTGAGTGAAAATATGTTAAAGCTCACGTGAAATTCACTCACTCAAGTCTCGCTTTAGCGAAAATTGGTATTTTTCGCTTGAGAGCGAATAACGCGTTTCCCAAATTTATTTTATATTATTATATAAATAAAATTATAAAGATTATATTATGTCATTAAATTACAAACTCATATAAAGATACCGCTCACAAATTTAGAATCAAATTTTGAAAAACTACTCGACACACACTTTCACTTTCGAGTGTACCCTCACATTCAACATATAAATATATAACTATATAAATATATCAAAATATATAAATATATTTGTATTTATATATTTATATATTTACATGAGATATATATTTATTTGTATATAAATATAATTTATTTGTAAGTTATTATAAAAAAATTCCAGTAGTTTAGTGGTTGGAGTATCGACCTCCAACTCTAAAGTACTCGGGTTCAATCCCGCCAATGACAATTCTCTTAAAAAATTAATAAACTTCTAAAAAATATAATATAAAGAGATGGAAGACCTAATAAAAATATAATATAAAGAGAGGGAGACTTGTAAATAAATAAAGAGAGTAAAGGAGTTGTAAATAAATAAAAATTATTAATTTAAAAAATTATACTTTCAACGTCGGTTCCTAATAAACTTTCAACGTCACTCGATACAACGTCGGTTGTTGAACCGACGTTGAAGGCTTTATTTGTAGTAGTGTAACAAAAATCCAAGCATCCCCCAAGTAGTATTTACCTATTTAAAATCATTGAAATTATACTAATTAGAATATTTAAACTAGTTAACTATACACAAAATCCCCACGTTATAAATAATAAACCTTGTGGTATGATAAGACGATATTCTCTCATAAGAACATCCTTTAATATTCTTGAATCAGATGTTGTTCCTTCCCACCCTGCTAGAACATATGTGAATTTCATGTCGAAATCACAAGTTACAAATATGTTTTGTGTTGACCAATCTTTTCTTCCACGAAATTGAGGGGCATCGGATCTTGCGACTTTAACTCGAACATGAGTTCCATCTATTGCCCCTAAACAAACCTAATTGGTAAAAAAAAAATTATTGTCATTAAAGTTTAGACAATCTATGTGTATGTTATATAAACACAAAGTTGGTGAGTAAATTACCTTAAAGTATGGGTAAAATCGGCTATTGTTTAATATATACGGACACACATCCCTTCTTGATGGTTGAACAATTAATTGTTCCTCCAACATTATTATCGCATTCAACACATTATGAAAGTGTTGACTAACGGTTTCACCTGATCGATGGAAAAAAAATGAAACAATTCGATTTTTTAACGTTATGTCCAATAATATGGAGAAATTTAGTCACTTGTTCTTCCACTGTTGATTGTAACCCATCGTTTATTAATCCAGTTGCCCTTACTCGTTGGCACAAGTTAATGAACGCCTCCGGTCCCATGCGAATAATATCACGAGATTGTTCAGTATGAATAAAATATAACATCAACTCGTGCCGATGACGTTCTTTTTCAGAAATAAAGTCCCTAATGTTACCATTACTACAAGTTACCGTAGACAACATATTTAATTCATAGGCTATCAGACAAAGAATTGTCATCGCTCCTACTTCACTTCACTTTTTTATCTCACTTTGTATATGTGAAATTATGTTTATATCCAAACCAATATCTATATCGTCATTGTCTAAACCAATGACTTTGATGTTTTTGTCCGTCATCCGCAAAAAAAAAATATATATATATATATATATATATATATAATTAATTAATGTTTAATGGAAGTAATTCAAAATTGTCATATGCAAACCAAGTATCACACAACCAAAATTTATTTACAAAACTACTAATAATTTTTTTCCTCTAATATTTTTACTTCTTCTTTAACAAATTCTCATTTTTATAATTTTTTTCTTTTCTCAATTTTACATAATCCATTTGTTATAAAAATAATAAATTTATTTTTTAAATATAACTATATTTAACTTTTTTTCCTTATTTAATTATGCATTAATATTGTTTGCCATAATTTTCACTAATTTTTTTCATGTATCTCTCAATTATTTTTTTCTTTTCAGTATATATAAAAAAATTCAAAATTTCCATATAATAATTATAATTGCAAAAACGAGGATTTTGGTTCCAGTTTTTGCTTCCATCATTCCCAGTTTTTGCTTCCAAGATGCATACATGCAGTAGCTACCAATTTTTACCTCAACCATGCATGGAGTACAACACCATTAGAACCAGTTTCATGTTGCAACCATGGAAGATGACATATGAACCATACCTGTGGGAGAAGATATGAACGAAGCTCTTTGTGGGATAAGCTGACAGCAAACTTGACGGTGCCCCTAAGATACAGCCTGCAACAACAACATAACCAATGCACAAGTCAAAAACCATGGTCGTATGGTGCCCATTTTTTGTTGGAGTGGAGGAGGTGTGGCCATGTTGTACACTTTAAATCTGAATGACCACACACACTCTTATGCATGCACATAAACTCCAAAAACAAACGTACCAACCAAGTTTGAGGTTCCAACCATGACAGAGAAGACATAGAACCATACCTGGGTGTTCCTCCGACAAGATATCAAGCAAAGTGTTGGTGGGACAAGGTCACACCGAAGTTGATGGTCGCCGATGAAGATCCAGCCTACAACACAAATAGAAACAAATGAATCTCACGTATGACAAACCATGGATCCACGTTTATGGGGTTCCAAACAGGGGCGCAACCACAAGGTTCACCCTTGCCGCCTGAGATGGCCATGCAGAGGTTGTCGTAGAGCTGTTTTTTGGCTCCTACCATGTGCCATGCATAGATTGTCGTCGCCATGCACAACTAATTATGGAGGGGGATTATGGACCTCCTCTCATGCATGCACACGACTGCAGCTGCACCCACAAGGCCCACCATGGCGGCCGGAGAGGTGCCCACCGGAGGAGAGTTTGGCGCCATAACGACAACATGGTTGAAAGGAAAGGAGACGCTTACCTATGGTTCCAAGGAGCTCTAATAAAGACAGAAGTTGGAGAAGACGAGGATCCTAAACATGCTCACGAAGGCAACTCAAAACTCAATGCAACTGACAGGGGCTAACTGAGAACATGACTCACAGGGGCTAACTGAGAACATAGTAGGGTGTTGTTCCCTTTCCCGAAAGAAAGAGAAAGATCCCGAGAAAAAGGAAGTAGGCTTTGGTTCAATCTGGGATCAAACTATCCTCTTTTCTTTGACTATGTCAAGCCAGTTCTCTGATTCGTGGGAAACTCTTGTGAAGTAAAGAATGTTTCCGAACCGAAGTCCCACTCCAAGCTTTGGCATATGGAATAGAGTCTTTTAGCTAGTCTTATGAGACTAGCTTTGCTTTATATAATACAATAACTTTCCTTATCAGCTGTAACTAGAGAAGAAAGAATAAGTCCTACAACTACATCCTTTGGTTCAAGTTCTATCAGTTGTGAACACGTGAAGTTGGCTGTACAGCCCGTGACCTCTGCATGTATAGCCTGTGACCTCTTCATGTACAACTCGTGACTTCTGTTCATGACTTACCTCTCCTTTGGATGTACCTGACCTTGGAGCAGAAGAACGTGCATGAATAACACACGAGAGAAGCACCCACCATGAGATCCATGACGGAATGAGGGAGGACAGCTTCGTCTTTAGCCTTTTTCGACGTGACTTTCCTCTTCTTTCTTCTCACATGAGAGAGGGAGGAGCTTGAAGGGAGTCCCCCTTTTCTCTTCTTTTCCTTCTGCGCAAATCCATTTATTCAAATACAAATTCTCTTTCTTTTTTGTTCATATAAATAGTCTTTTGTCTCAATCAAACAAGGCCTTAGCCTTTGTTCAGTGGGTTATGTAACTCATTTAACAAAATTAGACACTTCCACCTATCAATTACTCCAATTATATGTAATAGATTAACTATTTATTCTTTCTACATCATCTGTGCTCACAGTTGGATATTATATAATTTTAAATTAAAAATTAATTTAAATATTAATTTATATTCAATTATAGATAATTTTTAATCAAAGATATTTTAATGATGATTTAAATTATCAAATTATTATATAAGTGTTATTCTTTCAAATCAATTTAATTATGCATAATCTTTTCATTTATTTGTCTATTCTTTCTATTTTTTTTCCTTATATATAATGATTTTATTTTATTTTCTATTCCCTCCCTTATCACTCTCTAATCCAAGAATAACATTGTCATATATATATATATATATATATATATATATATATATATATATATATATATATATATATATATATATATATATATATATATTTATTTATTTAGCCTTCGTGTTTGAATTATATTATAAAAAAAGTGATCACAAAATATCTGAATTTAAATATTTAAAATCAATCAACGTGCAAGAGGTATCTGAGGATCTCTAGATAGCGTTTCTTCTCATTCCCATCTCCGACTGAGTTCACTTGTCCAACAAGATGGGTGGCGGAGGAGCTATGAGGACGGCGGCGAAGATAGCCGGCATCGGTGTCTCCAGGTCGGGTTTCCGGGGGCTTCCGGCGGCGCACCCGACTGAGCAATCGGTCCGCAACGCGTCGCGGCCCTCCTCGGTCGCCGGAGTGTCGTCGAAGGGAGCTAAATCCGCCGAGGTTGCGCCGGTGCACGCTGCGGCGCCGTGGGACGAGTGGGACTTCGCAGACGATGGCAAGTTGGTCGTGCCGAGGATGGTTTTCGGTTCTGCCCCCACTCTCGAGGAAGCTAAGGAAGCCACCAAAGAATTGAAGGACGCTATTGATCAGTACATTGATTTTCTTGATTTATGATATGATTGTTGCGATATAAATGAAGTTAATTATTATTTTTTTAATTTTGTGTACGTGTGGTTTCAATTTCAGTTTTGAAGTCTTTGTTTTGGTTTGACTGTTTTACTGTGCTGGGTTTTTCTAAAGGTTTCATTTTTATGCTTTGAGTGAGTTTTTCTTTTTGTTGGGTTGCTGGCACAGTATCAGTTAACGGGAACGTTTTAACCTTTTTCATGTTGATAGTGTAACGACACTTTCGGAGGAATGAAATTAAATTCTATAAGTAAATCTGTGTTTTTCTTTTTTTAAATATGGAAACTTACATCTTATTGAAAATGCTACCTTCTTCGGTTGGTCTTATTCACCTTTGTAAAGTAAGTTTGAGCATGATGATAGTACAAATGTTAGGAAGTACATGCATCTTATCTCGTTGATGGATCTTGGTAATATCAGGGATAAACACGGTTGCCTTTGTATCTGTAACTTTTGTTCCCTTTCTAAAGACTCTTATTTCAGCGTATTTTGTCCTTGTTTCTTTATATGATTATTATCTCAGTAATTTGGGTGATGTTAAAGGTATTGGCTTTTAGTGAGGTGTAAAGGACTTGGTGCATGTTTGGTAACGATTTGAACTTACTTTGGACACTGAACACAGTTTTGAAGAAGAATACTTTTTTTATCTTTTGTTCTGAATGTAGTTTTGGAAGGGGTTCAACAAACATGTTCTTGTTCATTGTCTGTCATCAGTTCGATCCCAGTATTTTGTTTTGGTCCCAAAGAAGTTTCTTCTTGATGAAGTTATATTGTATAAATTCCCCTTTCTTGGGTCAAGAGTGTAATCGTGGGGAACAATGGTTATTAATTTTGTCTTTTGAGCCATGCTGCTTTTTTTTTTGTTGGAGGATGAGTTTCATCTGCACATTCGCACATACATTGTGGGATATTAGATCTGGTGATACGTATCTCTCTCTATCTGAGATCGTATGTTTTGTTTTTCAGAGTATATCTTTCTCCTGAGGCTTCTCATTATTCATCTCCTGGTTGTGAAGTCTCTGCTCTGTCTCCTACACTTTATGAGCCACTGAACAGATCTTGTGTCATTGACACAATTTCAAATCCTTCAGTGCCAAAGCATGCTATTCAGGCTTTTCATTTGCTTAGCACAAGCCGCGAGGCTCAGGTGAATTTATGGTGAAGTCTAAATTACAGTCTGTTTAGCAATCTCGTTTTGTGTATGATATCTAAAAATGCTTATTAAATGAAGGCTTGGGTTCATTTATTGAATTATAGATAGAATTCACTAGTCTTTGGTTTCAACCAGGCTGTTGTGGCTTCACTTGCTTGTGATCCAAATGTATGGAATGCAGTCATGGAAAATCCTGCTGTCTGTAGTTTCTTTCAATCACAACACACAGGTAATCCAAATTCCTATATAATGGGTCTTTGTTTTGTAGGATAAATATTTTTAAAAACTGGGAAAAAAATTGAAACTCAATAACTAATTGTTTTTTTTTTAATATCAAAACTTAGAACTGAATTGTGCCTTAAGTGCATTTACTACTTTTCTCCAATAAAAAATGGAGTTTTACTCCAGTCATCCACATAATAAAGGTTTATATTCAAATTAGCACAGACTACCAAGTTATAATTCTAATAGTCCAATTCTAATTGGAAAACAACATCAAAAGTATCCAAGGAATTGAATCTGGGTATTGTCCTCATATTTAATGTTTGCCCATTACTTTGGGAATGAACTCTATCATGTTGTTTTCACATGACTATATGATGTGAAAATTTTGTGCCTATATTTCTCCTAGAAATTTAATAGGTGAGGCCATTCAAAATGAGAGAATCCATTATTATGTGCTTGGGTGTTAATTCAAATTGTGCTGCAGTAGCTGAATTTGGAGCAGAGGAAACTAATGAGGAAGTGGAAAAGTTATCAAGTTGTGTTTCTGATGCAGCTGAAGCACCTGAAAAAATGGAAGCATCGTCCAAGTCTCACTCGGGAAACGTGTTTGCCAATTTCAGCGGTCTTATGCGGAATTTGAAGCTTACAGTTATTGAATTGGTAAGCAGGGTGTCTGGTTTCCTTCAGAGCATATTCCCATCACCTGATACTGTGAAAGAGAAGATGTCTGCTGGTTCTGATCCTGATGGGAACACTAAAACAAGTTTCATGGAAAGTAAAATTGGCAAGGGAGGAGGGACCTTGATAGGTTTGGTTGTGCTGGTAATAATGGTGATAGTGACCAAGAGAGCTTAGACTCTTGGAAGCAACACTATAATGTGTTGAAGCAACACTATAATGTGTCGACTTTTCTAATCGTTTTGAAAGCCTGTAAATAAATATGATCTGCTTTCAAATAAACAATGTGTTGGATAAGGTAAATTTGCTTCTCTCAACATTTGGAAGCCTACCTGGTTCTAAGTTTTTTTTAACCTTTTCTGTATTTTTCTACTTGCTGAAACATGTCTTAAAATTTATGTATATATTGTCTTCCTCAGTCATCTTGCTTGAATTTAGTGTGAATAAGGTGAGAAAATTTTCAAAAAAAGAAATTAATCTTGAAGTGCATCATGATCACCTAATAATATCCAATATTTAGTCAATAGTGATTTCATCGTCTTCTATCTTTGTTGGCGAATGACTTTCTAAGCATTACCAGATGCTATTATATGTGCTGACATCTTTTCTTTTGGATTTATGCATTGATGAACTTATAGAACAATTTCATATTTTTAGTGTCTAAACGTCTATTTAGTGCAATGCACCCAAACTCATAACAGAGCCAGATTCAATTATCCAGGGGGCAATATATGGTGATGTGGACATAAAGGCCCAAACCCATAACGGGAAGGATCAAAACCAAGATCCAATCCAAGACTTACGTGGATTTATGACAAGAGACAGACTCAGAAAAACAAGAGGCATTGCAATACAAAGTGACCAATTTGCTAAAGGTCCAACTATTAAAAGATCCAAACATGGAGGAGTCTAGACCTATCACATGCATAGAATATTTAGAGAGCTAGGAGACTCAACTAAAAGATTTAGTTATTATTATTATTATTATTATTATTATTATTATTATTATTATTATTTTATTTGCTACAGTGGAGATTTGAACCCAAGACCCAAAACTTATAATGCCTTCACTGAATCATCTGGGTAACTTAACTTTGTTTGGGATATTAGGATTTTAATTTATCTTTATTTCTTGCAATGAGACAAACTCATAAACTGAAGTTGTATTAAACATTTGGGAATTCAGAATGAACGTAGTAATATTCAGAATCACTTTGTGAGTTGTTGATCTGCTAAGGTTCTTCCTTGCATCACTTGATCTTATAAAAAATTATTCGATTCTTGTGGCGATTCTTCTTGGCTTATCAAATATTCTTATTTGTGGCGCCTACGGTATCTTTTATGTTTTTTTGTTTTCTATTTCCAATCAAATCAACTCTTAAAACCTAACCCTAAATTGTTTCTCTTTTATTCGAGTGTCGTCATTTGGTATTCAAAGCAAGGTTCAAAAGTGGCACTATTCATCGACATTGTTCACGCTATCTGTTTATTTGTCACTCGTTCACGTGTACTGTTAAAAAAAAAACTTGTTGTTTATGTAATTTTGATATTGAATTTTATTTAGATATATATATATATCAAAGTTGTGTTTGAAATTAGTTTTACAGAAAAGAACAAAAAAGGAAAAGAACAAAAAAAAGAAAAGAATCAAAAAAGGAAAAGAATCAAAAAAAGAAAAGAATCAAAAAAGGAAAAGAACCAAAAGAAGAAAAGAATCGGAAAAAAATTATTATATATATATATATATATATATATATATATATATGTGGCAGTTGTTCTTTTTTTTTTTAATTTCAGTGCACATTAGTTGTTTGATAAAATTCTTAAGTGTCACGCGTCTTTGTCTAATCTTTGTTTTCCCATACAGTTTAAATTTGTCTTGCTTGTTATTAGTAGTAAAATTGTTCTTTGCTACTTGTCCTTTGTTGATACTACAATTTTGTTTTATTCCTTGTGATTGTTACAGTTAAAAGTGATTCTTGAACTATAGATTGTTTGATTCTTGTAAGAACCATAAGTCAGAGAACGAGTGGAAAAAGGCAAGAGTGCATATTATACAAAAGCCAAATTGAGAGTAAACACGAGTGATACATCTTTGAGTGCAAATACGTGAGAAGAGTGGTGAGGTCCTATTACTTCATTTGTTTGGTCCTTTCTTTTTTTTACTTGAAAGATGGCAGGTGCAGGTGGTGATACCCCTCCTCTAGGGGGTGACAATAGATTATTGATTGATGTCATTACAGCCCAAATGCAAAGAATGTTGACAGAACATACCGAGGAGTTGTATGGGAGAATTGAACAACTAGAAAATCAAGGAAATGATGATGATGGTGGAGGTAGAAGGAGGAGAAGGAGAAATAATGAAGGTGATGTTAGAGATAACATAATTGAAGGAGTAAAGCTGAACATACCCTCTTTTCAAGGAAAGAGTGATCCAGAAACATATTTGGAGTGGAAAATAAAAATTGAGCAACTATTTGCATGCCATAATTACACTGAAGATAAAAAGATGAGGATGACAGCCATGGAATTCACTGATTATGCTCTCATTTGGTGGAACCAATTACAAAGGGAAAAGGTGAGATATGAAGAACCTTTGGTGGAAAGTTGGGAAGAAATGAAGAGGTTGATGAGAAGAAGATTTATTCCTTCTCATTATCAAAGAGATCTTCACAACAAGCTCTAAAGACTCATACAAGGTAGTAGAGGTGTTGATGAATATTACAAAGAGATGGAGGTTTCCATGATTAGGGATAATGTTATGGAGGCGCGAGAGGCTACTATGGCCTGATTCCTACATGGGCTAAATAGTGATATAAGGGATGTTGTGGAGCTGCAAAATTATGTTGAGTTGGAGGATTTAGTACATCAAGCTTCTAAGGTGGAACAACAATTTAAGAGAAAGGGTGTCATGATGAGGAGTTAATCTAATTTTCACTCTCCTAGTTGGAAGGACAAAAATAAGAAGGAGGAAGGATCATCAACAAGCAATTCCAATGTTATAGCTCATAGAAATCAAAATAAGTCTGATGAGACACTTAAGAAAACAAAGAGTAGTGAGGTTAAGTGTTTCAAATGTTTAGGAAGAGGTCACATAGCTTCTCAATGTCCCACTAAGAAGACTATGTTACTTAAGGAGGATGGAGAAATAATTAGTGAATCTTTTTCAGATTCTTCATCTAGTGATGAAAATGAGCATGAAGATGAAAGAGAGTTAGAAGGAGATCTATTCATGATTAGAAGGATGTTGGGTAATCAATCAGTTGAATTGGATGATTGTCAAAGAGAAAATATTTTTCATGCAAGGTGCCTCATTCAAGGGAAGTTGTGCTCTTTGATCATTGATGGTAGGAGTTGCACTAACGTGGCTAGTGCACGGTTGGTTTCAAAAATGAATTTGGAGACTAAGCCACACCCGCGACCTTACAAACTTCAATGACTTAGTGAAGATGGTGAGATGACCGTGAATAGGCAAGTTGAAGTGGGTTTTTCCATAGGGAAATATGAAGATTCTGTTTTGTGTGATGTGCTGCCTATGGAGGCTTGTCATTTACTTCTTGGGAGACCATGACAGTATGATAGGAGAGTTATGCATGATGGTTTCACTAATAAGTTCTTTTTTATGCATAAAGACCGCAAAACTACTCTTGCACCTTTGGTTCCAAGAGAAGTTAGTGAGGATCAACTAAAAATGAGAAATAAAAGAAAAGAAGAAAGAAAAGAAAAAGAGAGAGAAAAGAGAAAAGAAAAAGAGATTGAAAAGAAAAAGGAAAAAGAGGAAGAAAAAGAGAAAGAGAAAAAAAAAATCAAATCTGTTTATAAAAGAAAAAAAAGTCTAAAGAGCTATGCAATTGAGAAAGCCAATACTTTTACTTTTGAGTAAAGAAAGTAAATCAAACAATCCATGTTTTACTAACTCTCTTCCAAAAGAGGTTTCTTCTTTGTTGCAGGATTTTGAAGATGTTTTTCCCAAAGAAGTGCCTATAGGTCTACCCCCTCTTAGGGGTATTGAGCACCAAATTGACCTTATTCCAGGAGCTTCATTGCCTAATAGACCAGCCTATCGAAGCAATCCCCAAGAAACCAAGGAGATTCAAAAGCAAGTTGAAGACTTAATTGTCGCCGCCGTCCGTTCCGACGTCTAGGGACATCTCGAACGTTTATGCGAGCGGTCGCGAAAAGATGGTTAAGACTCGCGTTTTATGTTAAAATTATGTTCATTGCTTCCGAGGTGCTCAACAACTGAACTATCCTCTAATAAAAGCAAGGTTTTCGAAAAGGGGTTCTTATGGAGTCGCCACCAATGTTTTAACCTTAAATATTGGAAAAGGATAAAAAAGCGTTGATTTTAATAAAAACCAAACTTGGCCATTATAACCAGAGTTAGGTAAGGGAGTTAGTTACGTGTGGGGAAGGTGTTAGCACCCCACAACGCCCCTTTCGGGTTCCCTATGACGGATTTAATTCATTTAAGTGAAGATTATAAGAAATTACGCGATTACCCTATTTTATTGCATAATATTAAGAATGACTATCTACATGACTTTATTTCATATTGCATACATAAAGCAATAAATAAAGCAGTAAAAGAGAAGAGAATTGAAAAGAACCTCCGTAGCAAGCTTTGTATTGCGAATCTTTTAACTGTAAGGATGCGTTTTGGTAATCCCTCGCTCTACAATGACTCTCCTCTCTGAATACAAGATCGACTCGACTAAACTTTTACAGAAGAATCGAATGCTGGAATGTAATTCCTTAACTGATTGTTACCTTATTAAGGCAATCAGAGAGTTCATTCGAAGTAGGGAGAGTAGACAAGTACTGGGAGTTGTCTAGTGTGTGAAACAGTGACAAATGAGCCTCCTATTTATAGTTTTTCGCAGCCTGACAATTTGGGACGGCCGTCCCAACTGAATTTTTTAGCCTTGGGTTTACCCCTGGAAGTGTGGGACGGGCAGTCTCACTTGGGACGGCCGTCCCACTTGGCCAGGGTAGCTTGGGACGGCCGTCTCGACTTTGGGACGACTGTCTCAACCTGTTTTGGCCAGCTTTTGTGTTCTGGGACCCCCGGGAAGCTTTCTTTTCTTTATTCGGACGTCGGTTGATGCCGATATATGCCCGTTGAAGCTTTATCTTCATATAAGAAGTCTTCTTTGGCCTTTTATTGAAATGTCGGA